ATTACTTTTTAAAATAAAAAATGGCTTTTACTGTAAAAGTAGTTAATTCAGTGCTATAAATTGATGGGGGAAATAAGAAACTTCTTGTATAAGGAAAGACTTATGAATACTAGGTGTACTGACATTGTATTGAACAGGTACCTTTAGAATGCAAATTAACATTTGTCCTCAAAATTGATCAACAGGGGGTCAGCTGTGAAAGTCAAAAGCTAGTAGCATGTGTGTGGCCACTGCTGGAAGCAATACAAGCTACACATCTGCAATGCAAGCTTTGCACCAGGCCCTAGATGCTGTCTTGTTGGATTCTTCTGTAGAGCCCTTGACAAGCCTGTCCTTATCTCTTATCTCTGATCCCTAGATTCCACATGTCATCCCATCTTATCCCACAAATGTTTACTTGGGCTCATGTTTGGCAAGTAAGGTGTCCCTGACATGATTGTCATATTCCCTTCTTGCAAGAATGCTGTTGTTACAGAAGCAGTTAGATAATAATAATAATAATAATAATAATAATTGCTTACACTTATATAGCGTTTTTCTGGACACTCCACTCAAAGCGCTTTACAGGTAATGGGGACTGCCCTCCACCACCACCAATGTGCAGCATCCACCTGGATGAGATGACTTGTATTATCCTGCTGTTATGTTGTCACATCAGGATGAGCCCACAGAACGGGCAGAAGATGACCCCTAGGATTTGATCACTGTAGCATCGTGCAGTCAAGTTGCCATCAATCACTACAACCTGACTACAAGACTAGCCACAGCTGGACAGATACTGGAGTCTGCACATTGGTAGGCCACTTCACACTCTGGACTACCCATTGATTTTACACAGATGTTAGCGTATCGTTCTGCACGTCTACCCTGTGTTCTCTGACGTCCATCAGGGTACAGAATGAGAAAATTATTTTAATATTCTGTATATATTACCGTTGTGTCACAAAAGCCCTGGTATTTCCTGGGGAAAACAAAGCAAGTCTTTAAGTCTTTAACTTTTTATTTTGCTTAGTTCTACCATGCCTACTTAGACTGTAAAGAAATGTTATGCTGTGGCAATTATATTTTATTGACATTGGACTTTTTGTGCAGAGGACCTCCCCTTCATTTCTTTACATTACTCATGAGATGAGCACTGTCAAAATGCTTCAAAGGTCCAGTTCTGCATGGATCGGCTGAAAGGCGACATGTGCCTCGCAAAAGTCACCTGCCGAGACGCCACAGACCGTACGAAGTGGAAAAATTGGTGCAAACAAGCAGACCCCACATAAATGGGAAAATGCGAAGAAGAAGAAGAGGTCCAGTGCTGCATGGAAACGGGCTTGTGTTTGCCTTCTCACATTCTCATGTGTGTTTGTGAGCTTTATTGAAAGCTGATGCTGTTTTTGCTCCTTTCATAGTTTGCTTGAGGGTCTGTATTCAGGGGGAGGCAGCAGTGACTGTGTTGAAACAACTGACAAGGTTCTGCACTGACCACCCCCCACGCCTCCTGCCCTGTTTGGTGTAATGAATGGGGATGAATATGCAAAGCTACCTTAAGCGACAGCTCCCAAGGTGTCAAGAGTGAGTGATGGGCTGTTCTCAGTTGGCTCGACCTGATCTGGGAGTCAGCGCAGAGACAGCAGAGATCGGTTTTACTCCGTCACACACAGTGGGTAATAGGCTGAGTTAGTGGGTGTTAATTTGTTATTGTAGCTCAGCAGCTGTGCAGCATGCTTGGGAGAGCAGGTGGCAGCCTTCTGGGGCAGATAGGAGAGGAGGGAGTGTGTGGTGTGTGTGTCTGTGTGTCAGGAAGAGGCCGAGTGTCTGTGTGTGGGAAGTGGGCAGGGTGGTTATCGCAGGATCCAAATGTCCTGTTTGCAAAGGATAACATGCAAGGGCCTGGATCAGATCCAGCAGAGCCATGGCTCCTCAATGGGTCATTGTATCCAGGAATTTGGAATCCTGGAGCTGCTCATGAGAACCAGAGGAAGAAAGGAAAACAGCCGCCACTACACTTCTGTCACTGGTCTGAGTTGAGGAAGACAAGATCCCTGGGAAAAGATATATAGAGGAGCATATCGCCAGAACAATAAAAATATATAAAATAAACATAATATAAAATACAAATATGGAGGGAGGACTCCATCAAGCCACAAAGAAATCAGACAGACATCTCTTTTTATTGAAAAGGAACAAAAACACTGGCTTTATAATTAAAAAGTAAATACTCCTTTTGATATCACATCATTGGTTGTTAATTTCACATTCTTTATGGAGTTGACAAGTGATATGGTGTCACCCATGTGATGATTGTTGAAAATGGTGAAAATGTTTATTTTCTGATTAACATGAAGCCTGTGTTTCAGTATTCCTGCACCAATCCTTAAAGTTATTTAATATATTTTGTTTTGAGTTGACAGTTTAACTGCACCAGTAGGGGATAAAGGAAAACTTTTGGTCTGGTAGGAATTACAAATTTTAAACCCATTTCAATACCTACTACTCAAATATTTATATACAGTATGGACACATACTTTTACTATTACATGTGACTGGACTATCAAAAGGTTTAACGTCATCTCACAGTACCCAATATTTTCAGGTCAATGGGAATGGAACAATGGGAATTCTTTGGAGTGTTAGCTCAGCTGCTCATCTTATCTTGTCACACTAGGCAGTGGCAATGGCCAAAAAGTCTTGTAGCCAAACAATTTACTACTAACAATTTAACACTGACCTTAGTGGGGTTAGAAAGGCAGTCCTCTTTGGGAAGGTACAGTGGAAAACTGGAACATAAGTTTATAAGTTCAAGGCAGGAACATAGAGATATGGAGGAGAGCAATAAAAAGACAGAAGGCAGAGAAGAACAAAACCACAAGAGGGCTGCTCCCTTACCACCACCCAGAACAGAAATATAGGATTTAGCAAAAGGACTGTCGATGTATAGCAGTGGAACGATAAAAATAGTTTCCTATCTATAGTGTCCAGCAGGCTAAAGAAATCTCTTTCGGATTTAGTGAGCCACTATATGTAATAGGGAGAGAGGTTCCCATTTGTATAACACCCATTTAGGGAGTGATTTAGTCCTGCGTAGGGCTTTTATTCTAAGAAGCAAGCTCCCAGCTCCATCCTATTTCCTACTTGGTATTTATGTGGCAGTTGCAGGGTTGAAGTTTCTTTCCTTAGGTTGTAAAAGGTAGTCTTCATAAAAATCTGCACATAACAGTAATACACATATTGTGTTTGTAAATTATTGTAAATAAATACATGTCTTTTAAATTGTTAATATAGTATTACTATATTACCTCACTGTGCCAGGGAGCACAGAAATCATGTACCCATAAACATTATTGCTTAGTTTTTCCTGACAGTAGGGAGGTGTGTAAATGATAACTGTTGTAATTTGCTTGCAGAACAGAACAGAAATTCAAAGGAGGTTTGAATTTTAACCTCCTTTATTTATTTACCACCTAGCTTTTTACAATACCCTTTTTATAAAACCTTAATTCAGTCTCTCTTTGCAAAACAGGATGGTGTCTGTCATACTTCCTCTACAATAGCTCTCAAAGCACAGAAACTAGACACAGTAAGTTGACTTACTGTACATTAGGTTGAACAATTATGTGTTTTGATTCAATCTGACACTAGGTGATCTGTTGAGACAAGACACAAGAACCGTTGCATTAAGGAAACCAATATTCCTTTTGGATACACAAACACGATATAATTTAACCATAATCAAATAAATTGGTTTTGGATTATTTGCACATATTAATGGATGACTAATATAAAGTCTGTGGAAAACACATAATGTGTAAAATACACTGAGTCCTTTTTATCTAGTATTAAGCTGGTAAAATGTTTCCTGAAAGGTAGGAAGGTAATGTTTTATTTGCTCCTGTTTTTCACTCCTAAGAGGGACTTATAATTGAGTGATACATGTGGACATATGCATAGAGAGGCATAAAGGTATCCACGTTTGCTTCACAATGTTAGCAGGCCTGCCACCTGCCCATGTATAGATGAGCTTATAAAACAAGTGTGCTTGGCAGGTGTTGTTTAATTAAGGTTATTCAGACAGTCCTATGCGACAGTCTGCTCTGAGTTATGGTGTAGCCTCTGTAATGCTGCCTGAAGTTATCTGTGACAGGCTCAGTGGTTGACATTTTGATTAACAGATATGTAATTGGTAAATTAATTAGATTACTGATTGACATTTTGTCATTAATGAGGTTAAGCATTATCAACAGGGTCTACTGTCAAAGTCACTGGAAGTAGTGCGTGTTGCCACCACTGGAAGCAACATTAGCTGTAGGTCTAGAACAACTTTGCACCAGGTTACAAATGTTGTCCCCTCAAGCAAACTGCCCCTGTTGTTACACAAGCAGCATGAGGATATACATTATCTTGCTGTTATGTTGTCATATCAGGATAAGCCCACAGAAAAGCCAGCAAGTGAGTTCCCTACTTAATTTATGTAAAACTGTGCAGACAGATTGCAATCAGTCACTACAAGTGGATTTCTACACTGACTAGACACTCCTGGCCAGACCATCACTCTTGGGCCTCCACATAAACTGGTGAGTTGTATACAACAAATAGCAGATTGTTTTGCTCATCCACATCATGCTCTCTGACGTTCATCAGGATGATCTACACATAAAATCGTCACAGAACAACACGATTAATTCCACAGTATGTCTAAATCCACTGCTTTCAAGTCCACCTGAAGTGTTTCTACACTTTACTGAGGGATTTGTTATCTTGAAAAGGAGGCATTGTGGTTTCTTTCAGTTTTTTCTTGATTTTTACAATGATTGACATTTAGCAGATAATTTTATAATTTGTGCCCGACATACCCTCTCCCTAACGAGGTGATTGGTTATGCCACAGTCACTCTAGCATATGATGATCGGCATTGAATGGTCAATTAATTAAAAAATGCCTAAATTTCAATCAATATCCATAATCTGTATAATTTTCAAAAACATACACACGTAGAATGATAAGATGGTGCAATCACCACATATACGCCTATAACCTTGAATGCTACAAACGTGACTTGATATCATTAGACATACTGTAATGAGTCACGTAGAAAAATCCCTGAACTCTTTTGCTGTCAGATCGTACAACTCATCAGTTAGTTGAATTGGACAAATCAGGCATTCTGCGCGCTTAGTGTCTTCCAAAATGCTGTTCCTCCTTAAAGACCGTGTTATAGCCCACTACATGAATCACGGCGCCGCGGCTTCAATTGTCTCAAAATTCACTCGAGCACTTCTCTGCGCATCTTAACATGTTTGTGTTACAATGTGTGTATGTTGCAAAGATCTTTTCTTTCCTTTTGTTGGCGGTTCATATTTGATGGTTTCCGCCCCCATTCATCTCCAGTTCAATCCTGCTTGTGGTTGGGGGAGAGGGGCGGGTTTCCTCGCTACCGCTTTTCCCCGATTTACTAGGCTGTGTTAGTGATCCGCCGCTAGCAGTACAGCAGAGTCCGTGTAGTTTTCTGCTAAAACTGTACTGACCGGACCCGCTGCAGAAGCTGTCCCACTGTCTTCATCTGCATAGGACTAACATGGTCGGAATCCCTGGCTCCTTCCAATGTAAGTTCGTTGTTTTCCTTGGGCTGACATCTTTAATAACTTTAAAAGGTTTGAGCGCGGAGCTGCAAACGAGCAAAGAGAGTTTAATTCCTCGTTGCAAAGTAGAAGGAAAGTCGTCTTAAGATCCCTGTGTCAATGCGACAAAACACAAGATTTTAGACCATTATCCTACTTCAGTTTTAAACAGACGTAAATGTATCGTTCTACGACAGAACAAAAACAGTACTTGCAACCTTTAGATCAAAGTCTCTTAAGTCTTGTCTCCTTATAAATGTAGTCGCCTTGCTTTACAGAAAACGTTATTATAGCTGTCTTTGTGGATTTATTTTTCTTTTGCAGTTGAGAGTATTCCAAGAATGACTAAGAGCCAGATTTTATCATTGGCTCCAATCTAGGAAACCATTTTACAGACAGTGGCGCCACTACAGAAAATATCACTTATCCGCATAATATCCAGCTTTAACTTTAAAAAGACAGACATTCAACATGTTCGCAGCGAAAGTTTAGTAATACAGCAGATTGATGAAAAGCTGTCATATCTAGATTAAGTCTGCGTTAATTCTGGTTTTGGTCTCCTGTAAGGAGTGGAATAACATACAAAACCCCCAAAAGACATCAAAAGGAGAACTGAAGTTTCGTTGAAAACGACTGTTGTGGATTTCCCCTATTGATAGTCGAAATTTCTTTTGTCATGTAAATTATAATCAAGAAAGAACCGTTTTTTGAGCAAATTTTGAGCCAGTTTTTTCTCTCGCGCGCTCTCTTCTCCCGTCTCTCTGTTGAATTGAGGGATTAACCCATCAGTCAAAGTTTAGCACCATCTGGGGAGTTTACAGCTTTTTAGGATAATAACACCAGTCTAAAAGCTGGCAGTAGAAAATTCCCACTTGTCTAGGCTGCCCCTGCAGGGCGACACTCCTGCACTGCAAAAGGAGGCTGTCGGGCGCCTGGGACACGACAGTAGCATTGTTTAACCCGGAGCTTTAATTTGTCTCGGGGGTTCATTTACTAAATACATGATACCTTGTACTTGTCTTGGACATCAGCGATTTTAAGCCTCGCCTCTGCAGTCCTGCGTTCCGGGGTCAGGCAACAGTTTTGTTTCGCTTTCTCGCGCATTTGCCAGGAAGGTACGTCTTGGTTTTTAATACCTGTTACGTTAACATCAGAGTTTACAGTACCTTTCGTGGAAACCAAGCGTTTATCCCCATCACTGAATAGGAAGTATGTTATATACTGTATGGAACAGTGTTTTATTATTAGTCTTCTGTCCCTTGGTATAGTTTTCTTATAATTTAATTTTAAAGAGAATTATCTTTAATGCAGTTTTGTATGTTAGATTACGGCGAAACGTTTTATTATTGTCACACGGCACGGTTAGGTGTACAGTCATATTCAACCTTGGCATCTGGGTTCCATACCATTTCGGGACATTGAACCCTCCACTGAGTAAAGTACTAAACTAACTCCGCCACTGTACAATTCTCTGATAATTAAATATGTGGGTGACAGGCCCATCCTTCTCTTGCCTTCTCCTGCTGTGCCCCACAGCTCTGGAATTCTGTCCCCAAGGATATCAGAGATCCACCTTCTCTGACCACTTTCAGTCCAGATTTAAAACCTTTGCTTCAGAAAGGCTTTTACTTAATTAATGTCTATGTTTGCCTCTTTGCATCTCCACTCAAAACCCTTTGCCACTTTTAAAGGTGCTATGAAGTCTATTGTTGTTAAGTACATGGAGGCAACACTACTAAACCATGTTGAAAAAAAATAATTTGGCTTTGATTTTGTAACATTTCCGTACTGTTTTTGCTAATATAGTAAGAAGAATAATCTGTAGGCAGCAAAGATCTGATGGCTCACTTTTTTCACTTCTCTCTCTATATCTCTTCCAAACCATTGGCTTTAAGAGCCAGGAAATGACAAAGGCCTGCAGGTTCGTGTTAGCTCTCTAATTGGTTTTGGCTCCACGGCGGTTTGCAGACTTGCCCTTTGTCGTGTTTGAGAATGTCCCTGTGTGTGTGGGGGGGCCCTCAGCCTCTCCAGGCCTGAGTGACGAATCCACCCTCGCGGTCAGGGGTTTCTCCAGCCTCCAGCACCTGCAGACATTCTTCTGGGTCCAGGCTGGCGAGGTTGAGGTTGAGAATTCATTTCATGCCCCCTCCCTACCACTTCAGTCTGATGGGCTGAGTTTGATTCATAACAGCGAGAAACAAGACTTTCCCATTGTTTCACTTGACACCATGCTTTTCATGTGGAACACATCTGAAGAATTATATCCATTCCACCTAAATGATTCTCTTTGAAAATACAGAACTGTACATTTATCAGGGTGCTTTTGCTGGATTTAAGATATAATTATCAAATTTGTATATGTTTGTACATTTTATATATTTTTACCACTTTAAAAACATAGTTTTGCAGATGTCTAGCATGCATTTACTTGGCTTTACAATACTTTTACACCTTTTCTGTTCTGCATGCTTTGGCATTCATTGAGCCTGATTTCACTTGGTTTTACTGCACGTTCCCCATGCTATGCCACAAACTGGCTATAACTTCACACAGTAAGAGATGAAACACCTTTTCAAACTACAAGTGGTTATGATGACAATTTGAAGTAAACATATCTGATCCCTTGGCCTCCAGCTGCAGTGGAAACATCTGAAACATTTTTTTCACACTTTTTCCTTAATTTATTTAGTTTTCACATTTAGTGTACCTTAAAGCTATTGCGCCAAGGAAGGCAACAGAACTTTGATGTGTAAGTGTTCCAAATCTAAGCCGTGGCTGTGCTGGAGAACACTGCAGTGTGTCAGACATATTCTTAATAAACACAGCATGAGAGGTTTTATTAAGCTCTGTTTTGTATCATGTGCAGTTGGTGTGGGGCTCCCCTTCCTGTGTGTAAAAACAGGGAATGGGGAACAGTGAAAAGGATCAAAACCTGAATAATCCTGTAATGTGAACAGGAAATACTCGTGCACAAGCTTGTTTTTTATTAGTGATTGGAAAGTGAGTGGCTGTCTCTAAATGTCCCGTTGGCAGGTTTCCCTAGGAGAAGGTTCTTCTGTCCATGGTTGCACAGATGCTTTATCACGCTTTACCGTGCTTTTGTGCTTGTGGTTTAAAATGATTTCACTGTGCATGCACTGTGTGCATACTAAAAATGATGCTGAAATGATGATAAACTTTGTTTTATACATCACGTTTAACATCCAGTCATCTCAAAGTACTTCACTATACATAAAATAAAAAAAAGAAAAGGTTTATTGAGTGCCAGATTGGGGTGGTGTTCCTCAGCTTTAGGGCACAGCAAGAAAGGATCCTGATTTCCTAAATGTAGCAGGGCTGTATTAACACATTAACCAGAATCAGCTGGATGATAATGATTGTGTGGAGGGCAGTAAACATGTAACATATCAGCTAGATAGTTTGGAGCCAAGCCTGTAGAACCTTAAATGTAAGCAGGCGGATTTTGAAATCAGCCTGAAACCTGATTGGAAGCAAGTGCAAGGACATTAAGAAAGGAGTGATGAGATTGCTTGCATGTGTCCTGATTGGGATACTAGCTTCCAAGTTCTGAACTTCCTGAGTTTGTGCAATGTAGTTTTAGAAACTCCTTCAAGTAACAGCATTACAGTGATCGATCCTGTATAGTTCATGGCAGGTTATTTTGTTTTTAACTCACTGTAATGTACTTACATGGAAGAAGTGGAGTCTCTTTAAACCCATGCTCTGTACTAAGCCTTCCTCCTCACATGAATTGCTGAAAAAGCCTAAAGCACAAATTGATTGATCATCACTGTGAGAATGGCAGTATAATTGACAACAGGCCTGCACAGCTGTTTCTTGTTGTTGCATGCAGAGTGGGGGGGAGATTGCATCCAGATGTGTACTTCTCTCAGAGATTGCCCATCAACAGTCATTTATTGGAATCTCAGTCTGGAGGAGCCCCATTAGAGCGGCCACGCTCCGTAAGTCAAATTTTATTTTTATTGCCGGTTAGTGGCTGTATGTGTTCTACCATGATATGAAAGAAAATGTCAAGTCAGAATTGGAATGCTTATGAGGACTCTTGCAGAGAGGCTGTTGCTGACACATCGTGATTTACCTGCTGGCTTAGGTACATTTTTCTGCTTTGGTTTTTCTTTCATGTTACCTTTCAATAAGTGTTGTTTTCAATAAAACAACCCTTAAAGTGTAAGTAAAATGTTGAAATGTGTAGAAAAGAGAGTTGATTTTTTATTATCTGTATTCCTGGTACTGTCGGTTCAAGTTAAGACTGTTGTAAGTTAATTTCCCTTGTCTAACTGCTGTATAAATATGCTAGCATTGAGGAGAGCTCGGAGACCTCCCAACAGCAAGTCTTTTTCAACAACAAAGAATATTTCTCTTGCAACATCAGTTGTATTGATTCCAAATGTGTGCAAGTATGGTACGTTTGGGAGTTTCTTGTCCTTTTTTTAAGTAAGACTGCATGAAGATTGGATATCGAGAACAAAAGGTGTTGGCCAGCAACTGCTAGGTCTAGCTAATCAGAATAGTCACGGTTTGAAAAGAGTTTGAAAAGAAATAGGGCCAAGGGCTTAGCATGGTGCCCCTCCCCCTACATTCTACTCATTAAAAGGTACTTTTGCCCTGTTTTCAAACAAAGCCTATGTTTTAGAATTGTCTGCCCCCCTTCCACCCCTTTAAGGTTTTCCACTGTTGCCCTTTTCTCTGTCCCTGATGAGCCCAGCTGCACTGCACTTGTCAGCACCCAGTAGACTGCTTTAAATCTCGTTTATATTCACTTACTTGGGCTCATTGAAGCTCAACAATACGTTTGGGGCTGTTTAGAGAAGTGTGGGCTTGACACTTTTGGCAGTCCTGAAATTGGATCTGTCTTTCTTGCCCGCTATGTGTTTGAGGAGAACATTATGAAAAAGCTGCAGGCAAAGGCCTTTATCTGTTATCCTTCTCCTTGAATGTAGAGTATCTGCTTTTGTTTTAGTACC